TTTCCTGAAGTGTGTCTGGGAAATAAATAATAAAAAAGAGTGAATTATTGATGGTAAGAATTTAGGATTGCACAAAAGATGAATCAATGACTTTGGTGTAAAGGAATGCATTATTAAATATTGTTTTGTGAAAGACAGAGTTTGAGTGGTCTCTTTCAAACACACGGAATACGTTTTGTTGTTGGAATATCTGTGTTGCGTAGATGTGTCATCACATTCACGAGAGCCCGACACCAAAATGCTAGCTAGCCTGTGGCTGTGACTGATGAAATAGTGATGGAGGTAAACGTCTAAGGTCTGTCTGTGCCTGAATACCGTGTTTTTAATTTCATTAATTAATACTCTCCTCTATTGGAATTGTCTGACTTAATTAATTAAGTATTAAGTTTAGGTTTAGGAATATAAATCTTTATTATAAATTTTAGTTTTTTAAATTTAGTATATAAATATACATTTCTCTTATATGAGTGATATAATAAATCATAGGACAAATTACATTCATTGTATACGAGAGAGCTGAGATACTATTACAATAATATTAAATTTGTTGGACGTAGCCTGTTAATTGGGTGAATCAAAATAAATTATGCATATTTCTTATTTCTCTTTACTGTTTATGATTTGTGTGTGTTTATTGTTTTGAGTTTCATATTACTCTTTATTCATTCAATCAGTCTCCAAAAACTAATGCTCTGATTAATGTATATTTTGTTATCCCTTTTGATTATAATTATCAGTGTAGAAATTAAACATAAATTCTTTTGTTCAATAATAAGAGACAACAAATAAAAATAATAAAAGATTACTGATCATACGGTATATCCAGATTCCATGAGTATATACCCTACCACGAAAATAAAGAATTGAGAGCATATTAATTTATAGTAAAAGAAAACGAATAATGCGATCATGAGAAAGTCCACATATGGTTTGACCTTACTCTCCACAGACTATAGTATAAAAAAAAAAAAAAAAGAAATGCAGCAAGTAAATCGTGTAAATCGTGCAGATGAAAAGAGAGAAAGAGATGATTCAACTACCAAATCTCGAAAGACAGATTAGTATGGAGATAGCTTTACCTACCGAAAGGAATTCAACTGGAAATACTTTTGACTCTTTCCACCAATTAATTAGCTTTTGATTAACATCCATATTCCAATCCAATCCATCCCTGCCGCAATCTTCAATTCTTTTCTTCTTCGTCTACTTTTCCCACTTGCTTTATTATTAATATTATTCTTAATTTACATTGTCTTTGGTCACTCTTAGTAAACACACCAGCAATGCCCTGTACTTTGACTGCTTCACTTGTATGAACAATCTAATAACAAGAATAGAAAAATTGAAGTTAAACAAAAGATTTTCATGTACAGAAAACTGGTGAATGTAAAAGGAGAGATGGAGAGGTGATATATGAAGGGAATATTATGAGCGTTTAAACAATTATAATATGAAAGATGTGATCTTTGACTAATATTAACAATAACCAACTTGTACTTGAAATGCTTGGTCGGTTGGTCCTTTAATCAAAGCAGTACGGCATGTGAATGCGAGAATTAGGGCTAAAAGCAATGTATTAAACTCACATTTTGGTCATTGAACAATTCTAAATTAAATTGCATTGGTACTGAATTGATCTTACGTGATTCAGTGGCTTTCTTTCAATGCCGAAGTGATATGCATCATGTAATAGAAAAATGAAGTCATTATTTAATTTTATTGATTATTCATAGGAAACAATCTTCTAAACCTTATTCAATTTTGAGTTATAATGAGATATTGTTGTTTTTTATGATATTATCTTATATTAGTACAACCTCCAGTATCGGCGGATATTACGTACTGTTTGTCGATTTTAAGGTTATTAATACAATGACCTTGGATTAAGAAAGTAATATTATATGACCTAAGGATCGATTTGATTAGAACCCAAAATAAAATTATTTTAGATTCAATTACTAAATGTGATTGAATCAATCAGTTTATATGTACATTTGAGTGTATTTAGTTAGAATGGCATAACTCAACGTAGCTCCTATGTGGAGATAGTAAAAATCCTAGCTTGGGCTCGATAGAGAAGTTTAGGATACACCTTTGCACGGATCAAACATCAGGCTCAGGAACAAAGATGCTTGATGAAAGGCGTGAGCAATCAACCTACATATGTAGGCATGACATATGACGAGATCAAAAAAGGGGGGCTTGCCATATAGAAATATCTCCTTGCTCAGACATGTCATCTTATCACGTATAAGCTACGTGCCTCAGTTAGTGGCATGTGGTAGTACAAACTCCACGTGCTTGCCATGCAACTCATACAAAGGGAGACCTGTAAAGACACCTGTTGTCAGAGGAAACACCATCATGAGCTACGACATAGGGGCATGTGAGTTTCCGACCGTCGTACGACATTGGACAATGTGGCTGATGCACTTGTGATCATAACATTATTAAAGCCCCTTCTCTCTTTAAAAAGATGGTAACGGCCACAGAAAAAAAAGGGGGAAAAAAGGAAAAGAGAAGGGAGAAGAGGCGACAAACGGGAGAGAGGACAGAAAACATTCTCTTTGGTCTAGGCATCATGTCAAAAGTGAGAAACTAAATGGAGATATCCCCCTCGATCGCCATGGAAAACCCTTCTCTTGCATCCCAACTCCACTTAGTCAAATAAAATATGAGTGGACATAGGCCTTATTCATTTCCTGGTCAAACCACTTCAAAAACGTTTAGTTTTCATACCATTCTCCGAGACGCGCATCACCACCTTGGCCACCTCTGTGGTGGGTCGAGTCTTCTTTGTTGGTTCCCCGGAATCACACACCCATCTTGCTCGGTTTTCTCCAAAGTCAATCGAGTATCTTTGGTTGACGCATGTCTTCATCCCAGCGTTTTAGTCGGTGAAGAAATTCACATCAACAAATTTCATCGACATTATAACAATATAGAGACGATTTGAGACAACGTAATTTCCCGAAAAACAAAAAATGATAAACAAAACTGATCAACCTAATATAATATAATACGGCGTGTTATTATTTAAAATGGTTTGTGGATGAGGTTGGATTGGGTTAATTGAAAAATTAAACAAGTAGTGGATAAGCATGAATGCATGATAAGAACATAATTAGAACATGTTTAGATACTAGAGAACCCTAAAATACGGAATTGAATGGATAGATAGTAGAGGTCTTGTGTCTAAAGTAAACTGGGGGCCATATTAGTATGGATCAACACTGAAACGATCTAAAGAGTACTTGGAATAAAAAATAAGTCAATCATATAAAAATAACGAAATAGTCAAGGGAAAGAACATGCGTAATTTATTCTAGTTCATCCAAAATTAGGATAGTCCAGCGGAGTCAATATTATTTCAATATTTCCTCACTTCTATGTTACAATTAATGTATTTGCTATGAATTGCTATAACACTCATACAAGAGATAATGTGTTTATATACTAAGGTTATTAAGAGAAACCCTAAATTACTAGGATTCTTATTCTTAAGACAAACCTTATTGGGAGTTCTATTTCTTAGAAGAATTCTAGGACCCGTGTGTGTCGCCCTCATAGACGAACCCCTTATTGTTGAAGTGATCGCCAACTCCAACAAGCACAACCCTTCTGATAACTCTGTATATCAACAAGGATCGTGCTACAATGTCAATCTGGGTTTTACAAACACTCTGGTGAGGTTTAATTAATCATTAGCATATATATATATATACAAAAAGAAATTATAGAAGAATTAAACGCATAAATATGAGATATGTTGTTTTATATCAGCATTTCTTTATAAGTTAATATTTAACTGGCGCACTAGGGACTCCCCACTAAATCCGCCAAACTTCACCAAGAAGAGTAATATCCATTGGCTGTACGTAACTGGCAACCATCTTATTAAGTTATTATGCCACTAATTTTCTAGTGGTTTATGAACTGACTGGCTCACACACCAGTCACCAAGTAAGAAAGTCAATAGTCACCGTAATACTTCATTACGTTTTGAATATTAAAAGTCTTCTAATTTAAACGGGTATTCTGCCACTTATTGTTCTCATCTCATTACATCTCTTATTTTTCAGCAATCTTCACGCCCAAAGAAATGACTTTGCTGAAGATTTTTCCCGTCTTCTAGTCGTTTCTAGATTCCACAACATGCCTGTCAATCGGTTTTAAATTAGAGTTATTAGTTCAATTCTATTATCATTACTTATCTTAGTATTTTCTTTGCTTTATCTCAAGGAAAAGATTAAATTGATATTATGTTAAAAGCTTATGGTATGCATATACACATATCTGAACAAATTTCATTTAAAGGCATACGGTAATAAAATATATTCCTTATTATTAGACCAACCTTTTACCGATTCTTCTAATTTTGCCCATCTCAATGATTCTTAATTGTCCTCTTGCAAGCACACTTTGGGCTCATTGAATAGGCAACAAATTTAATGTTTCAAAATAAGTGATAAATATGATAAATAACTTCAAGATTTAAACCCAATAAATAAAACAAATCCGCCCACCATACCGACCTCTTAGAGTTATCCTCTTAAGTGTCTTTCCTTCACCTAGTCTCCTCATAGAGTTAAGCTATTCTAATACTATACTATTAATTACATGCTAAAAACAAATCGTTGGCGATATCAACGAAGATTTTCAAATCTTTATTTTTTATTTTTGGACTTTATCGGTTTTCATCTATGTGTCATGCTTTTTTTTCTTCTTTATTTATATTGTTTCTTAATTTCAACATCTTTTTATTTATTTATTTATAGCTAATAGTTGTTTATTTGTTATTGTAACTATTAATAATAAATAATTAAAATCTATTTTTTGTGTTCTTGTTTATTGTAATAACACTTTTACTAATTTTAGTAGAAGCTAAATTAGGAGAAACTTTTGTCCCGTTTTGCGAAAGTTCTTCTCCGGCCCAACCTCCCTCCCTGCCAAGTTCACACGCTCATTTATTTATTTAATCTTCTCTCTATAAATTCACTTCAACATTCATTCTTCTCCGTGTCTCAAAACACTCCCAATATTATATATATTCCTCTTCCAAATTCCATCACTACTACAAAGCAAAACATGGCTAAGGTCAAGGTTGCCACCCTCTTCATGATACTCCTCCTCGTACTCTTCTCAACACTAAGCTACGCCGCTCGTCCAGAACCTGCTTTCCCCAACGCTTCTCCTGCAAAAACACAAGTGGTAAGTTGATTTTTGATGTTTATTTATATTCTGCAGAAATAAATTTATCCTTATTGTGTTGATTTATATATGTTTATGGGGTTTCTATAGGATAATGTTGCGGAAGAAGACTGCCAAGGAGGTTCAGATGAAGAGTGCTTGATGAGAAGAACTCTTGTTGCTCATACTGATTACATCTACACCCAGAAGCAGCATCCTTGAGATTTTCTTATTTTATATATATATATATATATATATATATATAGTTCCATTACAGTAAATATGTATAAATCAGTCTGTTGGTTTGGCATCAATCGATTTCTGATTTGTCTACATCTGTTTCTTCTCCACTTTGTTAATTAAGTAAAGTAAAAAGTTTGAACTTATGATGGGTTTCATTCTGTATATTTTCTGGTTGTTCTTCTTTGCAATTTACTCGGGTAAACAAAATTAAACAGAGTAACAATTGTTCAAAATGATGAAGTTTTAAAAAAGAAGCAGACAATATCATGTGAATATTGACAAATATATATAAAAGATACTATATACATGCGCAAATTCCAGCTGAAGCTAATGACTCAAAAAAGGCAACCGAAAGTAATGTAAACCAATTTTGCATGTGATGTAAACTCTCACCTAAACATGTTCCTTGGGTACTAAGAATTTGGTCCTTGCTGAAGAGCCGATTTTGTATTAAATTTTCAGTTGGGAAAGTGAAACATATAACAAGAAGGCAGAACAAGTTGTCGAAGATTGTTAACAGTTGAGTGAAAATTTATATCGCAGTTGGTTATTAAATTAAAATAAATAAACTTGTTAAGTATCTAGTACCATCTTCCTTTTTCTGTTTCAATTTAGTACACACATATTTGTTAACTAAAAGGCTGAAGGCAGAAGGGAAAATCAGATTTTGCATTAATTGAAAATAGCTACTCGCCACACTACACATAACAAATGAACCATAAATCCACAATCAGGCCCTATCTAGATAGCTTTTGAGTTTTGACTATCAATTTTGCATCGGTGGTCCTGCTTGATTGATCTTAATTCAACTATTGGCGTGGGGTCGTGGCTACCATGTATTAATTTAGCAAGTAAGAAACTGCGAAAGCAGAGGATTCCCATGGCTTTGTAACCAACCATTCATATCTCATCCCCAAGTTGCATCTTCTTGATGTAATGTATGATTTCATCATTTCATGCAAGTGGGTTGAGCACTTTGGATATTCATGTTGTGGCCGGCGATCGAGTGAACAAGAACAAAATATAACGATAAATTAAACAGTAATGGAAATAGCAACAAGTGTTGGTCATGATAGGAAAAACTTGAGCACTTTGGATTGTTATCGTGAGCTAATGCTAATGTGAATAGACTGATACCTACCCGCTTTTTAGTCAAATAATTTCTTATCATTCTTCTGGTAGAGCTAGAGCATACGCGCTTAAGAATAGAACCAACTTGTAACTTAGCTTTCTGCAGCCTTCACCAGAGACAAAACGGCTCTACAAATCCTGAATCATCATTTGCAGAACTTGCTGGGGTTTGAGTTGAGACCGAGTCTTCTCTCTAGGTCGGCATCAGGTGGCACATGGGTTGGACCTAGTCATGTCACAACGAAACATAAAGTTGTCCAATAAGTGATTTCCGTATATAGAAATTTCTTATTAGCATTTTGTGCGTAAACCAAACGTTTGTTGCTTTGCAAAAAGCCAAATTTTTCCAGAAGAGATTATTATATTAAGAATAATATTCATATTTCATTATATGCCTATAAAATATGTGATCAATGGGTTCTTTTATAAATGTATTTGGAGAATTATTTATTACCCAATTGTAATTTTCTCAAATTTATACCTGAACGTCATCACTGAAACAAACGAAAGTTGATCTATAGGGGTGCTGATAACGGAGAATTTTCTTGCGATGTGATTCTGTGATATAACTAGCCCAATAATATAAAGCCCATTAAAGTTGTAATCATCTGATACTACAAACTGCACCAGCCCACCCCATGGAAGTGTGCCTCCAAAGCCCTCTTTCATCCGGGTAAAAGATTTATAGTCTACTCTTTTGCCAAATTACATGCCAGGGTGAGGACAGGTAGCAGGTAAAAACAGAACCTATGGATAGAAATGAAATCAGAATCTAACTGGAACTGACAATGTGAGGGTAGATTTTGGTTCCACTTTTTTGGAACTGACATTGTGCGGTTCTGGTTTTGATTCCGATTCCTACATGTGGAGGAATCGGAACCAGAACCTATAGCGGGTACCCAACTTAGAACCTATTTTGGAACTTGTTGTGGAACCTGGGCTGAAATAAAATAACTATGAAGAATGGGGGGTCTAGTAATTTTACATATAAAAAAAATTTAAATAGAAAAATTTAAATTTTTACAATAACCTAATTAAATAAATATACAATTATAGTTATTACATATAAACTGCTCCATATAAAAAACTGTTATATATTATAATCTATTAATATTAAAGTTTTGATTAATTAAGTGTATAATTAGAATTATGACCAATTAAAAGTGTTTTAATGTTATTAAAAGAATTATTTTTGAATAAAATAGTATATTTGATTAAATAATAATATAATATTTGGTTATTTGCTTCAATTATCAAGTTCTAAATATATCTGTAGTAAATTAGTACTTAATTAATTAATTATATATGATAAATTGATAAACATTAATACATTACTAGTTAAATGATTACTTAATCAATTATAACATTCCATTATAGTTAAATGATTACTTAATTAATTATAAGTTTATAACATTAAGTTAGTAATTTAATACATTACTTAATTAAATAATTAGAAATTTAATTAATTATAACATTACATTATAAATAAATGATTACTTAATTAATTATAATATTTAATTATAAACATTAGTACAATATTAGAAATGTAATTAATTATAATATTACATTAAATATTTATAGTATGATTACTTAATTCATTATAATATTATATTATAGTATGATTATATAATTAATTACTTCCTCTGTTTTTTTTAATTGTCGTTTTAAGAGTTTTTAAAATTTTCAAAATTAAAGTTGTTCTGCCTTATCTTTTCTGCACCTTTCATCATGCCCTCTCTCTTTCCATTTCATCTTGTCATTTCTCTACTTTTTGCCTCTGTCTCTCTTTAATCTTTAATCTTTAATCTTATCTTATCTCTTCCCCTCTTCCCCTCTCTTCCTTATTTTCCATCGCCACTTCTTCTTTCTCTAATCTATCTCTGCTTCCATCTTTTTCTCTTTTTCTTGTCTTCCTTCTCTATGTTCCTCTCTCCACTTATTTGAAGCACCCTGTCGTCTTCAATCTCCACCTTCACTTCCTCTTTCTTGAGCCTTGGAAGATCAGCCTTGAACTCGTGAGCTTCTGGGGTTTCCTTCCAGTCCACACGGCTGTTAACAAAAGCTGAAGTTTCTTGAGGGAGTTGAGAGGAGAGTGACGATACAAATGATGGGAAAGGAAAGTCCTTGAATGAGTTACAGACGGCGTGGAAAGATAGGATGTCTATGCGTGTGGGAGAGAGAAATTTTTTTTTTATTAAAACTTGTGCCCACACCTAAAACGACAATTAAAAAAAAAACAGAGGGAGTATGACATTACATAATTAAATGATTACTTAATTAATTATACCATTATATTATAAATATTAGTAATTTACTACATTAGCACAATACTTAATTAAATGATTATAAATTTAATTAATTATAATATTACATTATAAATTTATAGTATGATTACTTAATTAATTATAACATTCCACTATAAACATTAGTACAATACTTAATTAAATAATTAAAAATTTAATTAATTATAATATTACATTAAAGATTTATTGTATGATTACTTAATTTATTATAACATTACATTATAGTATGATCACATAATTAATTATAACATTACATTATATTATAATCACTTAATTAATTATAACATTACATAGTTAAATGATTATTTAAATTAATTATAAATTTATAACATTATATTATAAACATTATTAATTTATTACATTGGTATATTACTTAATTAAATGATTAAAAATTTAATTAATTATAATATTACATTATAGATTTATAATATCATTAATTAATTAATTATAATATTCCATTTAAAAAATTAGTACAATACTTAATTAAATGATTAGAAATTTAATTAATTATAATATTAAATTATAGATTTATAGTATGATTGTGTAATTAATTTAATTAATTGTTTGTATTTTGGTTTTGATTGATGATTTTTTATGTGAATTGTGATGAATTGACTGAATTCAAGTGTTGCCTAAAGATTAGCGGATTTATCACATTGGACACAAATGAATGAGTAATCAAAATTTGTTAGGGGTGTATTTGTAAATTTTTAAGGTATTTTTGTCATTTTTAAACTAATAGGGGGGTAATTGATTTTTTATAGGGTACCTGGAAAAGGAACCGAAACCTGCATTTTAGGTTCCGATTCTCTGAATTTAAGAACTTGCACTGTGCGGTTCCGGTTCTAATTTCCCCGAAAAATGCAAGGTACCCAGAACCGCTCACCTCTAATTACATGTACTCTCATATCTAAAAGGAATTACATTAGCTCCCACTTTTTGTCTATGCGATCTTGGGTCTTGGCACATAATTAATTAACGAGTAAACGACATATTTCCACCTAAGATTTAGGGAAATCCAAGATTGGTACCCCTAGTTTCATAAATTCCAAATTCACACCCTTAAATGGACGTTGTTTTTTTTTTTTTTTTAATAGTTAAAGGTTAAATTAGTCATTTCAAATTAAATTAAAATGTCAAAACAACCCCCACATCTCAAATTTGCAACCTGCATTTTTGGGCAACTTCCCTTTCTTCTTGGCTAGTTTTCATGTGTTTCTTTCATCGGAAATCTGCACCACCACCACCAATCGATCCCTCACCATCTTCTCTTCAAAACCCATATCAACCTATCGCTTGATCACTCACTGTTTGTCGGAAAAGCCCACTGTTTCTTCACGCAAACAACCAATTTCTTAACTGTAGCTCAGCTCACATTGGCACGCTAACGTGCGCCACTGCTCCTTTTGGCGTAGGTGGGCTCACGTTAGCCAGAAACAACTCCTGTTATCATCATCTAAGCCGCTAGTTTTTTGGTTTTTTTGGCCAATCTCGACTTCCAAAATCATTTCCGTGACCACCATGGACTCCCCATGACCTCCTTTACAAAACCCATACCACCGCTAACCGTCATCACTCATTCTTTATGTCCACCCCTCTTGCCACCTTGCAAAGTTGGGTAGCTTCTCAGCCTTTTTCTAATCGATTGGTGAGTAACCAACCCCAACCGTTTACACCTCCTACATCTCTGTTTACTGTGGTTTGCCGTG